TATTACAAACAGTTGCAGAAACTGGTAAAATTCTATGAATTAATCCCTGAGAACCAGTCTAGCTTGTTATGAGAATGATCACTCAATTCTGAGATAGCATATTAGCTTCCTTTTTAGATTCCGTTTGCATCAATAATTTTTTCGATTATTTTATTGTAATAATTTTTTTTATTATTCACTTGTATTCTATTTATTTATGTGTTGTGTTTATGCCACTGGAATGTGCTTTTCTTTTTTCTCATGTACAGCACTTGCCACTGAAGCAAGTTGTATAAACACACTTACAGTACCTCGCCTATAGCATTAAAAGAGAAATAAAGACTTTCAGAAACATATTTTTCACCCTTTAAAAATTTCTGACTGACATAAAAGTCAACATTTTGTGAGAAAGTGAGGACATTAAGGACTGTTTTTCTATACCATTTTCGAAAGTATCTGTCAAACTCTGACATAGTATCACTGAGTTCATACACTTCAAATTTACCGTTATCATTTCAAAACTGCCATTGTTCATTTTATAATTTTTGTGCTTTGCAGTTTTGTTCGTCCTCCTCTCATCATGCTGTCTGTTGATGGATTTAGAGCTTCCTACCTGAAGAAGGGCAAATTTGTCATCCCAAACTTGCATAAACTCAGTATGTGACTCAGTTGTTGTTCTTTCAAAGGATGCTTGTATTTGTCTTAATTTGCAATATTTTCTGGTTGGTTGTGACATCAGCCATTTTTCTTTTTTGTTGTTGTTTAAGGATCATGTGGAGTATCACCTCCGTACATAAGACCAGTCTATCCAACTAAGACATTTCCCAATTTATACACTCTAGCCACAGTAAGTGTCCCTCTCATCATGTTGAGTAAACTGTATGAATTTGTACTCTGTGAAACTCTTGAGTAAGCAATACTAAAGCCAGGCTGTTAATGAACACCATCATATTTAGATAAGCTAGGAACAAACATTACCGGTATGTTTGTTTCTGTTCTTTATGGTCTGCTTATGTTGTGACTCCGGAACAGGCCTGATTTTGCCCTGTACTGACATTACACCATGTGATTTATCTGCAGGGTCTGTACCCAGAGTCCCATGGAATTGTGGGAAACACCATGCACGACCCAGTGTTCAATGCCACCTTCAGCCTGCGTTCAAGGGAGAAATTAAACCACCGCTGGTGGGGTGGAGAGCCAGTGAGTGCAACGTACATACTAGATTTTCTTTTAACTGGAGTCACTTTGAATGCCAAGCGATTTCTAAATATAACATTTTGTGTCCGGGTAGTGGTGGGCTTCTTAAACAACAAAGCCAGCTGTGGGTTCAAGAAAATACAATAAAATGAAGCCAACATAAATATAATGTATGAGGCAAAGTTTTGCCCAAACAGCTTCACAATTTAAAATCAATGATATGCTGAGTAAACCAAAAGTAATAACTTACCTTTCTATTGTTTTATTTGGTTAAAATTTGTTTAAGATGCATAATGACCATTCAGTAAGATCAATATGATGTTGGCTCTTCAACCATAGATGAAGAACATATAATATTTCTGCTTTTATTAATCAGTTATCTGTTTCCATCCTGAGGTTTTTTTTTTTTTTGCCTTAGTGACCTTAAGAACTAGATCAGCAAGAGCTTTGCTTCAGGTGGGACTTAGCTGGGCAACACATTTTTGTGGTGATGAACATCCATCCATCCATCCATCCATCCATCCATCCATCCATCCATCCATCCATCCATCCATCCATCCATCCATCCATCCATCCATCCATC